TGTAATGATGGTTTCAGGTAAAACAACTTTTTTGATAACAAATAAAAGTTAATAAACATAACTTAATAAACTTGGTGTGGGCAGGTAAATTTTCCTAAAATCATTTAACGTGTACAAGCACGCGAGAAAATGTGTTAAATCATATAAAGGGTCGTCCATAAATTACTTCAGGCAGCTTTGACAATTTTTGAGCCCCATCAAAACGCTTTTGTTAACTTTAATTAACCCCTCCCCCTTTTATTTATAAATTAATTCATCCGATGATAAAAATAATTTTTCTTTGTAGCGTGTCAAATACAACTACATTATATATATGTGTGTATGTATATATATATATATGTATATATATATATATATATATATATATACATATATATATATATATATATATACATATATATATATATATATATATATATATATATATATATATATATATATATATATATATATATATATATATATATATATATATATATATATATATATATATATATATATATATATATATATATTGAAAGATGACATCTTGTATGAGAGTATATTATATATTATTTAAAACATCAAAAAATACAGTTTGAAATTTTTATTAATATTTTGCAAGCTGATGATGCTGCTATTCATAACCCAGCAAAAATTTCTTATATGATAAAATTATTAGTATTGAGAGAAACTGTATTTCTTGATATTTTAAAATAATATATACCAGTTTTTACATCCATTTAAAACAATCATGACAACCATTTAAAACAACCATGACATTCATTTAAAACACCGTGACAATTAATTAAAACAATATGATTTTTAATTAAAACAATCGTGATTTTCAATTAAAACATTTAACGCATGGGCAATCTCAACATTCTATATTATTTTAAAAAAAAGTTTTCTTAATATTTTTTTTATTCGATTTTTTAAAAAAAATTTAAAATTTTATTTTATTTAAAATATAATGTTTATTTTCCAATTACTGTCGAGGTATGTCATCTGACCTAAGACACGCTTCGAAAAAGCTTTTGCAGTGTAATAGTTAAGATAATAAGTAATAAGTGTAATAGTTTAATAAGTTAACATTAGGAATAGATAATTAGTTCATTTCTTCCAGCTGGGGCCGTATTTCTTTGCACGTTATTCTTAAGAAAAAAAAAATCTCTTCACACGGATTCAAGAATGGTGAATATGGTGGCAAATATTTTATTTGAATGTTCTGAGCCCTCATCTCAACATTATGATGGATTCTGACATTATCCATCACCAAGGTGAATTCTTCCTCTATCCCCAAAACTCGTACAACTTCATCAATATATTCTTGAAACAAAACTGTGTTGACTGACACACTGACAGCTTCGCAGTTAATAATATTTAAACCATTGAAGGCCAATATCATCGAAACGTTACGTTGCCTAGGGTAAATAATCGGGATTGGTGTTACTCCTCTGCTTGCCCATGAATGACTGCGAAACATGTGTAAATTAAATGAACTTTCATCAATAAAAACAATATTTCGATAGCGATTAATAGGCGAGATTGAAGTTTACTACCTAATATATTCAATACGAAGATTTTTTACATCATTGTCGTTTCTTCTTTCATTAATTGGTCGAGTAATTTTATATGTGTATCCAAGATTGGTCACCCATCTCCAGACAGTTTTAATTAATACATTTAAAGCATATTTAATTTCAATTATAGTTGTCGTTGTTTTATCGTTTATAAGCTCTTCAATTCTTCTTCTAATCTCTTCATTATAAATAACATGACGAGCGCCACCACTAGAAGCAGAAGTGTTGAATTTGTTCAATCGTACCTTGAAATTGATTGTATTGTGTTTCGATTAACTCCTGTTAACGATGACGCTTCAGATTGAGTTTTTCCTTGATCAACGACTAGATTTACAACAAGATCTCGCATGTTTTGGGAAGCGGAATTTCGCGGCATGAAGATTCAGATTGAGTCTTTCGTGGTAATGAAGTTTCAGATTGAATTTTTCTTTGATCAACGACCAATCTCAAAACAAATTTTCGCTTATTTTGGCAAACAGAATTTCGCAGCATGTTTTAATGAAAATCTAATATCTTCATGCGCTAAATATTTTAATAGGAAATCATGGTTGTTTTAATTATCATCATGCATGTTTTAATTGAACATCATGGTTGTTTTGCCAATTTGCCAATATTTATGGTGTAGTGGTAGAGCGCTCGCCTTATAAACGAGTGGTTCGGAGTTCGATCCCTACCACGTCCCTGGTAGTACCGCGCTCAACTCGTTTCTCCACGCAGCGGCCTTGTTCGTCAAGGTTCGTGTTTCGGAGTTATAGAGTTGAGAGAGGGTTAAAGCCTCCTCGTCTGTAGTTGCCTTCTCGGCCTTGAGGAGGTGATTTAAAATAAAATTAAAAAAAAAAAATACAGTATGTGTATAAAAAATATGTAAAAAAATATGGTTTTGCATCCATTTAAAACAAACGTGACATCCATTCAAATTTAAAATAAATTCCATTAAATCAAAATAAATCAAAATAATATTAATAAAAATAAATTTATACAATCTTAGATAAATAAATATATAAAGAAGACCTTTTTTTAAAAAATAATATAGAATGTTGGGATTGCGCATGCGTTAAATGTTTTCACGATTGTTTTAATTGAAAATCACGATTGTTTTAATTAAAAATCACATTGTTTTAATTGATTGTCGCGGTGTTTTAAATGAATGTCATGGTTGTTTTAAATAGTTGTCATGATTGTTTTAAATGGATGTTTATGGATGTTTATGGATGTAAATGGATTGTTTTAAATATATTATTGAATTCTTGGAATTAAGAAAAATGAGGTCGGCAATAAATTACCGACCTTAAACTGTAAGAGGTCGGCATAAGGTCGGTAAAAAAATTTGACACTATAAGGTTACCATAAAACATAAAAGCGAGGTTGGCGAATTTTTTTTTTTAAAAGAAATAATAGTTATTTATATTTGTAAAAATATAAGATTTACAGTTTTTATAAAGATTGGAGTTAGATATGCTGTAATACCTTATAAACAATCTTTGTTTTTTTTAGCATTTTACCTTTGTTTTGTTTAGCATTTTAGTATCAATGGATCCAACAAACCGAAATTACAATTTTAAGATCAATTGATTGTTATTAAGCACTTTAACATGTGAGTATAAGAAACCAAAAAAAGAAAAAAAATATTAATTATTTAATAATTTTGTGAAACTAATTCCATATATATTATCTATAGCATAGTATTTCTGAAAATACCTAGCACTTATTTGTTTAATCTCTTTTTTAAAATGTTTGAATCGGTAATTAAAAGCAGGAGTTTTTAATAGTTTTTCCGTTTTTATAAATAATTTAGTAAAATTTAAAGCAATTAATGTTTTTAGTAGTTAAATAAATAGTTATTTTCTGATTAGTTATTTACCTTGAACAAATTTATTTTAATTTCCTCCTAAATCTTAAAAATTAATTTGAAACAATCAAGCTCTCAGGTTGCAATTATCTCAATCTATAAACTAATCTATCTATATCTCAATTTATAAAACCTATCGCATTTACAACTTTCAAGAAACTTTAAAAAAAAAAAAAATCAAATAAATTCAGTTTGTAAAATATAATTGTGCTAATTTTAAAAATTGTAAAAACTTAGTAACTTTTTTCAAGTTACCAAGTTTCTGCAATTTTTATTATCTCTTATTAATGCCAGAAACAAATAAAAAAGTAACCTGTGAAGTATGAAGATTAGCCTGCGTTGTTATCAGCGCACTTTAAACTTAGCATTTTACAAGAGACCTTTTTACAGATACAGATAAAATCACTGGAAACATACAGATGTTGTATTTTGAAATTATTTTTATGATAATGACTTTTTCGCCACACATACACGCACACATTTTTATTTGTTATCAAAAAATTAATGTTCTAAATGAATTTTTAAAGAAATGTCTTGAATGAAGATGACGGTGACTACGTCACATCGTCGTTTTGGAAACCTTATTTTTTTTTATTTAAGACGCAAGAACTCATTACATTGAAGTTTTATTTGTTTATTTTTAAACAGTTTTTTATATTACTTAAATAACGAAGGTATATATAACCCCTAGAAATATTGTATTACATTATAAAGAATTTTTTAAAGATAAGTTTATATACCGTAACTGAAATTTTTACTTAATTAAATTAAATAAGAACTTATTTAAGAAGTTAACTTTTAAAATTTTTAATGTCCTAAAGTTTTTAAAAAAGTATGCAGATCCTAATCTTGAAAAACCTCACTTGTATGTTAGCCACCAATAGCAACAAAACAATTACTCATTATTTGTACAAAAAGTACATAGCTCCAGGGGACGCACAACAAAAAGTGGAACCAACAGAAAGGGAAATAATGTAGTCTCTCATCAAACACTTAAATTAAATGCACCCGCTAAGTGCGCATAGCAGTTGTGTTATTTACTTATCTAATTATAATAAATATTAAAAAAAAAGTAAAGTCCCCATTAAAAGACTATAGCATAATAATTATAAAAAAACAGCAGCAGGTATGACGTTTGGCATATGACAATAATAAGTTAGTCTAAAGCTGTTACGACATGTGACAAGTAAAACGTTGATGAGTAAAACTTTCTATTTCAATTTTTTTAAATTTCGGACCTATATAATTACTATCTTTATGATAACTTAAACTTACTTCAGGATATCATTTACAAAAAACATCGTAAGATGTGACAAAATATTTTTAAAATTATTTCGTTTTTGTTTTTGTTATTTTGTTTCTCAAAGGTTATCTAAGCAATTCTTCGCCTAACCCTGACCCGAATCCTAACCGTCTAACTCTGAACGACCCTAAGCACTCAGAGAAAAAACAAAAACGTTATCTTCTACTCGTGTCAGTGAAAAAGGTAAAGTTCTCTCGAAAAACAATGCGCGAGAACCTTACTTCTAATTTAGCAAATATTAAGAAAACACATAGAAAGTGAAAAAAACAAGCTGGATAAAACTTACTAGAAGTAACTCGTTATAAATACGTTCTCGATACAACATTATGTTCTCGCTGAAGAAAAATTTCAACTTTAAATTAGTTTTTAAATGGTTTTTTAATGAAAATGTATTAGCATTATGTATAATGACACCCAAAGAATTTTAAAACAATTGATCTTCTCCTTAGAGGTTCTTTGCATTTTTTATTGTTTAATATTTTAAATTAATTTAAAAATAAATTGAAATAAATACATAATATAAATTACATTGAGTGATTCAAATCTATTTTGAGTGAGTTATAAAAGTCGAAAATTGAATAAAGAGATTAATTTCAACATTAAATATCTACGACTACATGGCTTGTCGAAGTCAACTAGCCAACTTTTACCAGCTTTTAATAATTGTGTGCGCGCACATGTGTGTGCGTCACACACACAGAAAAAGTAGGCAGAGGCTATTCTGCAAATAAAGTGAGGGGGAGGGGGTGAATCCTCAAAAAGTACCGTGTAAACCTTAAAAAAAAAAAAGGTCTTTAAAACGAAAGTTTACCCGACTGAATCTTGTCAAATAACCGACTAGCCGATTAAATTTATAAAAAAAACGACTATAACTTGAAAATCACCTTCACACCCCACCCCGTAAAATCGCCTAATAGTGTACGAGCGCGTTTTGAAAAAAAAATCCTGAACCGTGCCTACACAGTCGCGCATTCACAATTTAATTTCACAAGGACACTTCCAGTTATTTTTGTTCTTTTTTTTTGTCAAATAAAAATGAAAAAAAAAACAAGATTGTTACAAAAATAAAATTTATCCTCGTTCCCAGCTCAAATACGAGGGCAACAAATTAATAAAGTATTTAAATTTTTTATCTTGTTCTAAATTTAATGTTATCAACAGGTTTAAAATTTTATAAAACTTATCTTTCAGTCAATTAAAAGATTTTAGGAAATAAAAAGGAATAAAAATTGAAAGTAATTTAACTTTATTAGCAGTTATGGTCGTTTTAGTAATTACTAATGAAACTAATTTGCGAACGTTTTAAATTCCATTTTAGATTGCGTAGTTCAGTAAATATCACGAGATAACAGTATATTGAACAGCTGTTAAATAAATTGCACAAATATTGTTAAAAAAAAACACAATTGAAATTTTTAACGAGAGTTTTAACAGTTTAATTTAAGCAAATTTGTAAGAGTAGGCATATATAGCGTCTAATTAAGCGATTAAAATTTATTTAAAATAGTCGATCGATTAATGATCAAATAATCTTAAAAATTGTTTTAAATTCTTTTAATACGTAAAACTTAAGATTTTACACCACGAAAATCAACACTCGAGATAATGTAAAATACAATTTTTTTTAACGTAGAACTTTTTAATTTCATTATTAAAAAGCAAAAAATCGAGTCGTAGAGAAATAAAAAAATAGCTAACTTCCCTCCTGAGTTTTTAAATTTGCCTAGTATGACTGGATTATCGCTACATGAGGTGAAACTTAAAGTACTAGTAATAGATAGAGGAGAATGAGGAGAAGTGGGACGCGGTAGAAGTGGGAAAGCCTGAAATTTCTAATTAGGAGTAGTGCCTATACTTATAAAAAGGTTTATTTTTAAACCAGCAAACATTTAGTTTAAAAAAGACGTCTTAAAGCTGTCTTTTAGACACATTAACATTTTTTATACATCTAAAAGACGTCTTTTTTAGACTAATTGTGTGCTGGGAAAAACTTGTTTGGTTCAGTTTAAAAATCAAATAAAAAAGATATTGCAATTACCCTTAAAAAAAAATGTGTCTTACTTTTTCCCACTCTCCCCTAACCTTTTTAAGAAAACAAATTCCAAGGAAGGACTGCGCAATGGTACACGGCTCATTATAAGAGGGCTAACTGAAAATTTGTTTCATGAAACAATTTCAACTGCGAAAAACATTTTAAAATACCATTTCTTCCCCAAATCGGTAAGTCCAGCGGAAATTATTTACCATTTACGTCAATCCTTTAACAGTTTCTAGTTCGTACTTAGCTAGCCGACTACGTCCCTCAAAAAACTAAAAATCATCTTTTTTAGGGATGGTGGGGAGGTGGGAGAACATAAACCTGAACATAAACCCATGTTTAGTCACAGTTATTAATCACAGTTAAATCCGGTTTAAATCAAATTCTTTTTACTCACAATATGCTCAATTGCTATGAATTTTAGTATGTTCAATATAATAACATTATAAAGTATAAACATATGTCTTATATTTAGATTAAAACATTGACTAAATGATCTTGCAATTGCGCAAGCTACCCACCCACAATCGTGTATATATATATATATATATATATATATATATATATATATATATATATATATATATATATATATATATATATATATATATATATATATATATATACCTATATATATATATGTATATATATATATATATATATATATATATATATATATATATATATATATATATATATATATATGCCAAGAAAGTACAAACGAGTGACAAATCAGTTAAAGCCTGATGCTCATACAATAAAAGCCGCTGTGATGGCTGTTGAATCTGGCAGTTTATCACTTCGAGCAGCTGCTGCACAGGAATATAAAATTTCGAAATCAAGTTTATAGCGAAAAGTAAAAATTAATAAAGAAATTTCTCACAATGACTTATACTTTTTGTGTAATATTTTTACCCCAACATGGGGTAAAAATATTACACACAAAGTATAAACCATTGTAAGAAGTTAATATTTCATCCCAACATGGGGTGACATGGGACAAACAGTGTCACATTAAAAAACGAGGCCGTGAACTTAATTTGATTGTTAAGTAATGGGTTTTTGAATAATTTATCATGACAACTCATTAGACTATAGTTTTAACCAAATTATATATATATATATATATATATATATATATATATATATATATATATATATATATATATATATATATATATAATATATATATATATATATATATATATATATATATATATATATATATAGAGAGAGAGAGAGAGAGAGAGAGAGAGAGAGATAGACATACACTGGCGTCTATTTTCATCTTAGCATTTGCTATCATTATTTTTATTTTAGTTAATATTATTTGTACTATATTGTAAACGTTATTTATTTTTGTGAAGAATATATTGATTAAATGATTGATTTACACTAAAAGCAGCCATTTTTAAACATTCTCTTGTTAGCGGCATAAAGCGTTTACTCTATAGCGGAAGCAACTGCTTATGAGCAAAAACAAAGTTATTTATTAATGTATTTTTGAGCCATTGCTTTGGCCGTGAGCATTTGTTTTTTAGCTTTTACTTAGAGCAATTGCTTTTTTTATTCACTCAGCTTTTTCATTAAAACTTTAATTAGCACTTTTCAAGTGGTAACTGAAGTTTTATTTTTAGGTTATATTTAGATAACAATAAACAAAATTAAAGCAACTTAAATGGTGAAAAACTAAGTTTTGAAAAGTTTTCTTCTAAATTTGTTGGTGTATGTTTATCAAAAAATGAACCAGTTGATAAAAAAAATTAAAGTTTAAGAAAATAGCACAAAATTATTAAAATAATTAAAAAAAATTTTAATCAAAAAAAAAAAAAAATCTTTGATTGATTAAACTGCGTTTTGTAGTATTTAAACGATCGATTAAGACTGATCGATTAAAATTGATATTAATTGATTTCCTCAATCATTATTATAGCTTTTTATTTAATTAATCTTAAAATGTCAATTTAAATGATCAAGATTAGCTAACAGTCGTTTTTACCTGTTTGCGGTTTTCTTAATCTAAGAAGTATAGAAATTTCATCATGTTTTAGACAAAAGCAACCGCTAAAGGAATTTAATCTACTCTTTAGGTGACTTGAACGTAAATTGTTTTTATACTTTATCATACATATGACATGCTTAGATACATGCCTTGGTTTACTTAATAAAGCAACAACTACAAAAAAGTTATTTCAGTTACATTCTTGTAATTCAACTACATTTTATGCGTCATTTACTAAACCTGCTTCAAACCTACTGAAACAATAAATAAAAATCACTCGACTCAAATGAGTAAAATAGCCAACTATAGTCCTCTAAAAATCTACTATAACTTGAAAATTGCCTTCTAAGGAGAGGAGGGGGTATATACACTCTGCGTGTAATCAAGGGTCAAGCTGGGTGACCTTTTTCAAAAAATAAATAACTTTTATTACTATCAAACTTACTAAATCAAAAAGTACCACACAAACACATATACAGTGGCGACAACATAAATAGCACACTTTCTTAACCAGTTGGTTTTGCTTTTTAGTACCAACTTTTTTTTTTAAATGCAACTTTTTTATATGTATATAGCATCCAAAATGTTTACATTTTTCAACGGTACTACTCATTTTACATTTACAACTGTAAAAATTACTTGTTTGAGGCGGTTTTAGCTGCCGAGCTTACATTTTTGAGGGCATTTTAAATAGCATAATTAGCTTCTTATTATATAAATTTTTTTTTTTTGTATTATTTAAAAAGATAGTCATTATATTTAGTATTCTAAGTATATTCTTGTATATTTTTAGTAAAAAATAATAAAAAAGTTGTTATATGTTAACAATGGGACGAGGTAAACATGACACAAATTTCTTTCATAGACAAGTACGGGCATTTCGAGATCAAGGATTAAAGAATTCTCAAGTAGCTCGAAAATTTGGTTGTTCTCGTAAAAAGGTTATCAGCGCTGTTAATTTATTTAACAATACTGGTTCATTAAGCAAGTTTCGCGAACGAAAAACAACCCCCATTTTTTTAGTCTCGTCAGTCCAAAGCGCGTTTTTGGAAAAACGTGCTTTGGACTGACGAGACTGAAATTAATCGCTTTGGATCCGATGGAAAGCAATATGTTTGTTGTCCCCAGAACCAAGAAATCAACCCTCGGTTTACTTTAAAGACCGTTATACATGGTGGTGGCAAGGTGATTGTTTGGGGCAGTTTTTCATGGAGTGGAGTGGGCTCCTTGCATAGAATTTAAGGAACGATGGATCAATATATCTACAAAAAAATACTGGAAAAAGTGACGTTGCCATATGCTTAAGAAAATTTCCTTCTAGTTCGGAAATTCTAACAAGACAATGACCTCAAGCACAACGCCT